GCTTTCTACCTAACTCAAGGAAAGGGATCTTGGAGTGTCATACCGAGCACATCTACTGTGGCGCACCTCAACCAGATAACTGTGAAAACCCTAGAATAGCATTCCGATATCTCAGTAAGGAATCGTTCAAGACTCTGTACACCGTGTACGTCAGGCCCTACTGGAGTTTGCAGCACCAGACACCTGGTCAAGCACGTCAAGAAATTAGAGAAAGTGCTAAGGTTTGCAACAAGACTCGTTTAAGACAAAGGGAATGCCCACGAAAAAAGGGTTTAAAAGGAAAATGGGCTGATGATACTAGAAGACAGAAGAGTTATGGAAGACATGGTAGCGACATACAAAATACTGCGAGGAATTGACAAGGTGGACAGAGACAGGTTGTTCCAGGAGAACACAGAAAAAAAGGGGTTAAAAATTGGAAAAAGTTAAGGACCAGATGGTAAAGAATTTTAGGAAGTATTTTTTAGTCTTAGGTTGTCAGGAAGAAGAATAGTCTGGGAAAATACGTAGTGGAGCAGGAACCATACATAGTTTTAAACGAGGGATAAAAAAGCTCATGAAGGGGGGAGAGAGGGGGGACCTGTAGGGCCATACGAAGTGGGGGCCCGGAACTATGAAACGACCCCCCAACTCAAATAGGTAAGAACACAGACACCACAGGCACAACACACACACAGGCCACACACACACACACTCACACACACATCACACACCACACACACACATCACACAAACCCCACACACACAACACACACAACACCACACACACAACACACACTCCACACACACACCACTACACACCCAAAACCCCACACAACACACACACCACAACACACCACACACACGGGAACAGTGGTCAGTTTCCACTTCCCCCCCTCCCACAAACCCCCCAAAAAACAGTATTGACAAAGAAGCTGAACGAATACTACACCATTGCAGGCGGGAATAAGAGATAAGTGTAGGGAGTGAAACAAGTAAATCTTGAAGGGACCCCCAGGTATTATAGCACCCAGAAAAAAAATTATGGGAAGGTAACAGACACAACCTTCCAAGAAAGATAAAGCAAAAAAAAAAGGGAGGGGGTTTTGAAAGTTTCATCAAAAACCAAAGGAGTTTTGAGGTTACGAGGAATGGAGAAAAAAGGGAACAAGGGAATAAAGTTGGACACTTTTAACGAGGGCCCAAAGGGGGGTGTTGCGGATATACAATCCACCAAAAAGGAGGGGGCCCAAACAAAAGGGGCGAAAGAGAAACAGCAATGGTGAAACCACTGGGTGAATGGCTGGGAAACGCCCCCCAAGGCCGAGCAAATTATTAATTAAGAGGGCTTTCAACCACAGGACTGAATGGGAAACTTTTGACCACATAGGGAAACAGAAACGTGGTGGCCTAAGATGCTGGAGGCGGTACTGGAAAACCTCATGCACCAACATGTTAGGGACTCTACCAGAGAGATGATGACTAAGCAAGGCTGAACCTTGTATTCTCCTTGAGTAGCTTCGACATTGGGAATATCACATTTGAAAGGCCCCTCGGCGCTAAGAAAAGAGAAACAGCAATGGGAATGCATTAATGCAGTAATGGGAATGCATTATAGAGGTAACAGTGGAGAATGAAGCGGCATGAGAAGTACTTGAGAAGCTAGCCTATAAAAGATGGGACTACATGATGTAATTCTTGCACGAGGTGCAGTGGGGAAAAGAATTAGAAGAGAACGATAATAAATGAAATGTTGGAACATATGGCCAAAAGGTGTAGGAAAACAGATGAGAAGTTCGTACCTATAGGCAACAGAAACAATGGGAAGTCCAGAGTGAGCCCTTGCTTTACCCGAAGTTGTAGAGAGACCAAAGCTAAGAACATGGAAATAAGTATAGAAGATAAAGGATCCAGGAAAATAAGATGAACTGAAGAACCAAAAACAAATATACATGGATAAGGTGGGAGGTCCAGCGGCGATATGAGAATGATATAGCAGTGAAAACCAAATATGACCCAAAGCTGATGTACAGCAGCATCAGGAGGAAAACAAGAGTAAACAACCTGGAAATCAGGCTGACAAAGGAAGGAAAGAAGGAAGGAAAGGAGACCACAAGACATGACCAGGAAACATGTGATGAGCTCAACACGAGATTTAGGGAGGTATTTTCATTGCAGATAGACAGGCTTCCAGCAAAGCGGGGTGGTGCGGTTCACCAATAATTCCTACACACAACTGAGGTGAAGAGACTGCTAAGTGACCTAAATACCTTGAAAGCGGTAGGCCCAGGCAATAAGGCACTGCAATGGATCAGAGAATACCTGGCATGAAGGAAATAACGAATGACGGTACTTAGCATGGTGTCAGAGGAGGCGCATGTGACGAGCGGGGTTCCACAATGGTCAGTCCTAGGTCTGGTGCTGATTCTTGTATATGTTAATGACATGACGGAAGAGATAGATTCAGAGGCGTCCCTGTTTGCAGACGATGTGAAGCTAATGCCAAGAATTCAAGCGGACAAGAATCAGGTGGGGCTACAAATGAAAGTTGAGAGGCTACAAACCAGGTCAAAGAAATGGATCCTAGAGTTTAACCACACCAGGTGCAGTCATTATGCTTCGGGATGGTCAAAGAAGACTGCAGACGGAGTACATGCAAGGGGGTCAGAAGCTGCAATCCTCACTCAAGGAAAAGGATCTTAGAGTATCTTACCGAGTATATTCTGTAAGGCGCACATCAACCAGATAGCTGCTGCAGCATATGAGCGCCTGGCAAACCTATGAATACCGTTACGACACCTCAGGAATTAGTTATTCAAGACACTGTACTCTGGGTGCATCATGCCCATACTGGAGTATGCAGCACCAGTATGAAACCCACACCTAGTCCCGGAGCTAAGAGTTATGTCCTATGAGGAGTGGTTAAAGGGAATCAACCTGACATGACTGGAGAATAAGAGGGATAGGGTGGACATGATTGCGACGTATAAAATACTGAGTAGAACTGACAAGGTGGACACGGACAGAATGTTCCAGAGATGGGACACAACAACAAGGGATCACAGCTGGAGGAGGAAAACTCAGATGAGTCACAAGGAGTCACATAGAGACGGCAGGAAGTGGAACAATCTGGAGGGCGAGGAAGTGAAGGCAGAATCTATACATAGTTTTAAAAAGAGGTACGATAAAGTTCTTAGAGCAGGGAGAGTATGGACTTAGTAGCAATAAGCGAAGACGCACAGCCAGGAACTATGACTCGACCCCTGCACCACAAATAGGTGAGTACATAAACTCGCGCTCTCTCTCTCTCTCTCTCTCTCTCTCTCTCTCTGACATATATACACACACACACACACACACACACACACACACACACACACCAACACACACACACACGCGCACACGCGCACGCACACACACACACACACACACACACACACAGGTTAAGGGAAATCCACCTGACGACACTGGAGGACAGGAGGGATTGGGTGGACATGATAACGACATATAAAATATTCAGAGGAATTGACAAGGAGGACAGACAGGATGTCCTAGAGATGGGACACAGCAACAAGTGGTCACAATTGGAAGTTGAAGACTCACATGAGCCACAGGGATGTTAGGAAGTGTTTCTTCAGTCATAGATTTGTCAGGAAGTTGAATAGTCTAGAGAGTGATGTAGTGAAGGCAAGATCCATACATAGCTTTAAGAAGAGGTACGATAAGGTTCTTACAGCAGGGAGAGAGTAGACCTAGCAGCGACCAGTAAAGAGGCGCGGCCAGGAGCTACGAATCGACCCCTGTAACCACAATGAGGTGAGTACAAAGAGTGTACACACACAGTTCTTCACAAGAGATTAGTGCAGAAACTAGAGGATTAGGCGCGTGTAACGGGAAGGGCACTGCAATGGATCAGAGAATACCTGACAGGGAGGCAACAACGAGTCATGGTACGTGATGACGTATCACAGTAGGCACCTGTGACGAGCGGGGTCCCACAGGGGTCGGTCCTAGGACCAGTGCTATTTTTGGTATATGTGAATGACATGATGGAAGGGATAGACTCAGAGGTATCCCTGTTCGCAGATGATGTGAAATTAATGAGGAGAATTAAATCAGATGAGGATCAGGCAGGCCTTCAAAGAGACCTGGACAGGCTGGACACGTGGTTCAGCACCTGGCTTCTTGAATTCAGCCTTGCCAAATGCAAAGTCATGAAGATAGGAGAAGGGCAAAGAAGACCGCAGAGTATAGGCTAGGTGGCCAACGACTGCAAACCTCGCTCAAGGAGAAAGATCTTGGCGTGAGTATAACATCGATCACGTCTCTGGAAGCACACATCAACCAGATAACTGCTGCAGCATATGGGCGCCTGGCAAACCTGAGACTAGCATTCCGATACCTAAGTAAAGAATCTTTCAAGACTGTATACCGTGTTCGGCAGGCCCATACTGGAGTATGCGGCACCAGTTTGGAACCCGCGTTGGGTCAAGCACGTTAAGAAATTAGAGAAAGTGCAAAGGTTTGCGACAAGGTTAGTTCCAGAGCTAAGGAGAATGTCCTATGAAAAAAGGTTGAGGGAAATCGGCCTGACGACACTGGAGGACAGGAGGGATAGGGGAGACATAATAACGACATAGAAAATACTGCGTGGAATAGACAAGGTGGACACAGACAAGATGTTCCAGAGAGGGGACATAGAAACAAGGGGTCACTCTTGGTAGTTGAAGACTCAGATGAGCCACAGGGAAGTTAGGAAGCATTTCTTCAGTCATCGATTGGTCAGGAAGTAGAACAGTCTGGCGAGCGATGTAGTGGAGGTAGGAACCATACATAGCTTTAAGACGAGGTATAATAAAGCTCATGGAGCAGGGGGAGAGAGGACCTAGTAGTGTTCACTAAAGAGGCGGGGCCAGGAGCTGAGTCTCGACTCCTGCAACTACAATTAGGCGAGTACAATTAGGTGAGTACACACACACACACTCAGATATTTTTAATAATATTTGTATCTGCTTGTTCAGGAATTAAAAAGCGTCGAGCGTTCCTTGATCTTTTGTTGGATTATGCTGAAGAGAATCCAGAGTTTACTGATGAAGAAATTCGGAAGGAAGTGGACACTTTCATGTTTGCCGGCTACGACACCACAGCTTCAGCGATGAACTGGATCCTCTATAACCTCGGACATCATCCAGATATTCAGGTATTACTTTTAGTATTAAATATATTTTTTATAAGGTGATATTGAAGAAAGATCCGACTTCATAAATCTGTAGTGAATAGTAAACAAACGGTGTAGTTTACAGCGAGTTCTATTATGTATCTTTAATCAGATTCTACTGTCACAAGTATTCACAGTTCCTAACATTTTTCACCAACTCACCGATGCAGATGCTAGTGATGACAATGTCTGATATTTTTTTCGCATTAAATAATGTACAAAAAATCCAATCCTGGCAAACTACTTTCGAAACTCTGTTTCTATTGTTATGACATTACTGCAACTGTTCCTCTGAGGCCGAATATATTTTGTATGAATGCTTATTTATATATAGCTTTGTTTTGCATGAATTCCTTCAAATTTGATAGCCGAATGTATAAACGAATTAATGACTTATTGAGAGCATTTTCTCTCTACGTTGTAATGATTTTATAGTGCGTACTGGCAGCTCGAGGACATTAATCTGCATGAATTAACAAAAGGAACCTTGTAGACTAGATGGGACTAGGATAATTATTCTTATATACGTAAAACACGATATACATGATTCTCAAGAAAAAATTCTCTGCCTGCCTTGTAGGTGCCAGCACATCCCATCTCCTGAACTGAAGTCTGGTTATTCCTTTTGCACAGAGTCCATTCAAAGGAAATGCTTTGCTCAAAATTCTTCCTCTTCTCAAAACTGCATCATATTCTCTCACTAAATCATTTTAGTGATAAATACAAAGAAAAGGGAAAGAGCTTTCTGTTATGTAATGTATTTGGAAAATGGTGGAGAGAAGCGTGGTGTAACAGGCAATGCAAGTATTTAGATTAAATTGCTTATATATACACACATATTAGGGGAAGTAGAATATTCAAAAGCCTTCATGAAGAAATCCAAATAGTTTTTCTTCGAAGCTTTTTAATGCAGTTCTCCGAGGTTATGGGTCCAACACTTTGTACTAAACGTGGACCCCATCTTGTGCATTCTTTTTAACAAACCGGCCGTATCCCACCGAGGCAGGGTGGCCCAAAAATAAGAAACGAATGTTTCTCTTTTTTAATTAGGAATTTATACAGAAGTGGTTACAAGCCCTTTGCTTCCGGCATTTTAGTAGCCTTTTACGACACACATTGCTTACGAAGGAAGAATTCTGTTCTACATACCTTTGGAGATAAATAAACAACAAGAACAAGAACTAGTAAGAAAATAGAAGAAAACCCAGAGGTGTGTGTATATATATGCTTGTACATGTATGAATAATGTGACCTAAATGTAAGTAGAAGTAGCAACGTGTACCTGAAACCATCATGTAGAAAAACTACAGGTTTCTATTTTACACTCACTTGGCATTACGTTAGTACCTCCCTGGGTGGCTGCTGTCTACCAGCCTACTACCACAGAACAGTAGTACCTCCCTGGGTGGCTGCTGTCTACCAGCCTACTACCACAGGACAGTAGTACCTCCCTGGGTGGCTGCTGTCTACCAGCCTACTACCACAGGACAGTAGTACCACCCTGGGTGGCTGCTGTCTACCAGCCTACTACCACAGGACAGTAGTACCACCCTGGGTGGCTGCTGTCTACCAGCCTACTACCACAGGACAGTAGTACCTCCCTGGGTGGCTGCTGTCTACCAACCTACTACCACAGGACAGTAGTACCTCCCTGGGTGGCTGCTGTCTACCAGCCTACTACCACAGAACAGTAGTACCTCCCTGGGTGGCTGCTGTCTACCAGCCTACTACCACAGGACAGTAGTACCTCCCTGGGTGGCTGCTGTCTACCAGCCTACTACCACAGGACAGTAGTACCTCCCTGGGTGGCTGCTGTCTACCAGCCTACTACCACAGGACAGTAGTACCACCCTGGGTGGCTGCTGTCTACAAGCCTACTACCACAGGACAACAGTACCTCCCTGGGTGGCTGCTGTCTACCAACCTACTACCACAGGACAGTAGTACCTCCCTGGGTGGCTGCTGTCTACCAGCCTACTACCACAGGACAGTAGTACCACCCAGGGTGGCTGCTGTCTACCAGCCTACTACCACAGGACAGTAGTACCTCCCTGGGTGGTTGCTGTCTACCAGCCTACTACCACAGGACAGTAGTACCACCCTGGGTGGCTGCTGTCTACCAGTCTACTACCACAGGACAGTAGTACCTCCCTGGGTGGCTGTTGCCTACCAGCCTACTACCACAGGACAGTAGTACCTCCCTGGGTGGCTTGCTGTCTACCAGCTACTACCACAGGACAGTAGTACCTCCTGGGTGGCTGTCTACCAACCTACTACCACAGGACAGTAGTACCTCCCTGGGTGGATGCTGTCTACCAGCCTACTACCACAGGACAGTAGTACCCCTGGGTGGCTGCGCTACCAGCCTACTACCACAGAACAGTAGTACCTCCCTGGGTGGCTGCTGTCTACCAACCTACTACCACAGGACAGTAGTACCTCCCTGGGTGGCTGCTGTCTACCAACCTACTACCACAGGACAGTAGTACCTCCCTGGATGGCTGCTGTCTACCAGCCTACTACCACAGGACAGTAGTACCTCCCTGGGTGGCTGCTGCCTACCAGCCTACTACCACAGAACAGTAGTACCTCCCTGGATGGCTGCTGTCTACCAGCCTACTACCACAGGACAGTAGTACCTCCCTAGGTGGCTGCTGTCTACCAGCCTACTACCACAGGATAGTAGTACCTCCCTGGGTGGCTGCTGTCTACCAACCTAATACCACAGGACAGTAGCACCTCCCTGGGTGGCTGCTGCCTACCAGCCTACTACCACAGGACAGTAGTACCTCCCTGGGTGGCTGCTGTCTACCAGCCTACTACCACAGGAGAGTAGTACCTCCCTGGGTGGCTGTCTACCAACCTACTGCCACAGGACAGTAGTACCTCCCTGGGTGGATGCTGTCTACCAGCCTACTACCACAGGACAGTAGTACCTCCCTGGGTGGCTGCTGCCTACCAGCCTACTACCACAGAACAGTAGTACCTCCCTGGGTGGCTGCTGTCTACCAACCTACTATCACAGGACAGTAGTACCTCCCTGGATGGCTGCTGTCTACCAGCCTACTACCACAGGACAGTAGTACCTCCCTGGGTGGCTGCTGTCTACCAGCCTACTACCACAGGACAGTAGTACCTCCCTGGGTGGCTGCTGTCTACCAACCTACTACCACAGGACAGTAGTACCTCCCTAGGTGGCTGCTGCCTACCAGCCTACTACCACAGGACAGTAGTCCCTCCCTGGGTGGTTGCTGTCTACCAGCCTAATACCACAGGACAGTAGTACCTCCCTGGGTGGCTGCTGTCTACCAACCTACTACCTAAGGACAGTAGTACCTCCCTGGGTGGCTGCTGTCTACCAGCCTACTACCACAGGACAGTAGTACCTCCCTGAGTGGCTGCTGTCTACCAACCTACTACCACAGGACAGTAGTACCTCCCCAGGTGGCTGCTGTCTACCAACCTACTACCACAGGACAGTAGTACCTCCCTGGGTGGCTGCTGCCTACCAACCTACTACCACAGGACAGTAGTACCTCCCTGGGTGGCTGCTGCCTACCAGCCTACTACCACAGGACAGTAGTGCCTCCCTGAGTGGATGCTGTCTACCAACCTACTACCACAGGACAGTAGTACCTCCCTGGGTGGCTGCTGCCTACCAGCCTACTACCACAGGACAGTAGTGCCTCCCTGGGTGCCTGCTGTCTACCAGCCTACTACCTCAGGACAGTAGTACCACCCTGGGTGGCTGTGTCTACAGCCTACTACCACAGGACAGTAGTACCTCCCTGGGTAGCTGCTGTCTACCAGCCTTCTACCACAGGACAGTAGTACCTCCTGGGTGGCTGCTGCTTACCAGCTTACTACCACAGACAGTAGTACCCCTGGGTGGCTGCTGTCTCCAACCTACTACCACAGGACAGTAGTACACCCCTGGGTGGCTACTGTCTACCAACCTACTACCACAGGACAGTAGTACCACCCTGGGTGGCTGCTGTCTACCAGCCTACTACCACAGGATAGTAGTACCTACCTGGGTGGCTGCTGTCTACCAGCCTACTACCACAGGACAGTAGTACCTCCCTGGGTGGCTGCTGTCTACCAACCTACTACCACAGGACAGTAGTACCTCCCTGGGTGGCTGCTGCCTTCCAGCCTACTACCACAGGACAGTAGTACCTCCCTGGGTGGCTGCTGTCTACCAGCCTACTACCATAGGACAGTAGTACCTCCCTGGGTGGCTGCTGTCTACCAACCTACTACCACAGGACAGTAGTACCACCCTGGGTGGCTGCTGTCTACCAACCTACTACCACAGGACAGTAGTACCACCCTGGGTGGCTGCTGTCTACCAGCCTACTACCACAGGACAGTAGTACCTCCCTGGGTGGCTGCTGTCTACCAGCCTACTACCACAGGACAGTAGTACCTCCCTGGGTGGCTGCTGTCTACCAGCCTTCTACCACAGGACAGTAGTACCTCCCTGGGTGGCTGCTGTCTACCAGCCTACTACCACAGGACAGTAGTACCACCCTGGGTGGCTACTGTCTACCAACCTACTACCACAGGACAGTAGTACCACCCTGGGTGGCTGCTGTCTACCAGCCTACTACCACAGGATAGTAGTACCTACCTGGGTGGCTGCTGTCTACCAGCCTACTACCACAGGACAGTAGTACCTCCCTGGGTGGCTGCTGTCTACCAACCTACTACCACAGGACAGTAGTACCTCCCTGGGTGGCTGCTGCCTACCAGCCTACTACCACAGGACAGTAGTACCTCCCTGGGTGGCTGCTGTCTACCAGCCTACTACCATAGGACAGTAGTACCTCCCTGGGTGGCTGCTGTCTACCAACCTACTACCACAGGACAGTAGTACCACCCTGGGTGGCTGCTGTCTACCAACCTACTACCACAGGACAGTAGTACCACCTGGGTGGTGCTGTCTACCAGCCTACTACCACAGGACAGTAGTACCTCCC